CTTGTATATTGTACCGTTGTATATTGTACCGATGATAGTGTCGCTAGGGCCTTTCTTAATTGATGAGCAATGATTTACTACTACTCCCACGAGAAGTGGAAATAAACATTTTGCCTTTATATTTTGGAATATTTAGTTAAACATTTTTGTTTTCTTTTTATATAATTATGATATCATTTTTTTCAACCCTAACATTCAACAACGATAGTGTCGCTAGGGCCTTTCTTAATTGATGAGCAATGATTTACTACTACTCCCACGAGAAGTGGAAATAAACATTTTGCCTTTATATTTTGGAATATTTAGTTAAACATTTTTGTTTTCTTTTTATATAATTATGATATCATTTTTTTCAACCCTAACATTCAACAACAAACTATGTTACAACAGCTTTTTTGTACATTTCATTAAGGGATGATGATTTAGGAGGGTAATAACGTTTCCATTTATCCATATTAGGTACTTAATATATTTTTTGTGTGTATTACAACATTAAGATTTTTATAACCGTTTAGAAATAATCATTTTTACTAGTTTCTTCCTGTTAAAATGATTATTTGTAAACGGTTAGAATAACCTTAATAGTGTAATACGCACAAAAAATACGTAGGGACCTAAAATGGACATACAGAAAACGTTATTACCCTCCTAAGATTTTTAGTATTTATTATTTTGAATATATATTTTTAAGATTTTTAGTATTTATTTTATATATGTATTTCATATGAAGTTGTTGAAATTAAAAAGAATAAAAAGTAGAAAGGTTTGGATTGGATTGGATTGGATTTTGTAACCACATCATCTAGTTAACCTCTAGCAAGGAGCTAGAGAGAAGAACAAATTAAGGTCGGATTGGATTTTGTAACCACATCATCCAGTTAACCCTAGCCTTAAAATTTTGAAACGAAAACCAATGAAAAGAAAGATCCACAACAAAATCAAAGAGTCTATATTTTCTAGGTTTATTGCTACTAAAAAGTAAAGATTTACGAAACGTCAAAAGCACTCATATGACCACCATGAACACCGACTCAACAATCGGGCGTTCCATATGAACCGTTAGTCTAGAATCCACCCAATCCACCACATCACGGATAGATGAAAACACAGGAAGGTCCAAATGAAGTCAATGCCCAACCCGACTCCAAACCTGATCCACAACCGAAAACTGCAGCAACAAATGCTTCACACTTTTTTGAGAATTATGACACACAAAACACAATAAGGTATTTTGATAACCAAAAAAATAAAGCGGAAGCATGAAATTTGGTTCTTTAAACTCGAATCTAATTAAAAGAAAACTTAAATAATAAATAACGATTACATACCTGATTTCATTATAATCTTCGGATCTGAAGAACTAGGGTTGGGTTTCCCAGTTAATCTCAAAAGCCCTCTCTGAAATTCCTCAGCAAACCCTAAACGAATTTATATTTGTATTTTATGTGTCTTGATTGCTCCTCATCACATGTATATATAGATGGAGATATACCCTAATGTGAGAGATGGAAGGGATTTTGAGGATCTTGAGTCAAACCGATAACTCATCCCACAAGGTAAGTTAATATTTTATAAATCGGTCCATCAACAATTTATATTCTTACCATAATAATTGAATTTAATAATATATCGTACATATTTATGAAGTGGTCCCATAATTATCTAACAATCTCCCACTGGACCATGAATATATAAATGTACGTATAACTGTATAAACGCTTTAATGAATGTTATTATAGCATTGGTACCCTTAAACAATCTCGTCTACTAATCATAATAGTATATGATCAAAGCGGCCTTCATTACAATTTATGTAACCAAACCTATCAATGGTCACATATACATATATAACTAACGACATAGATTAAACATGTGTGGTTTTAAAATCTAAATAGATTTCCGACGAGTTCCTCTTTAGATTGAAGTGAGATCAAACTTCAAATAAGTGTAACTAATAATGGAGTTAACCGAATTCTAAATTTTGTACAGAAAAAACATCATTGTTCTAAAACAAAACATAAAGCACCATAAAACTCTCACTAAAACGAAATATCACACCAACGTGTGTAGTATGCTCATGAAAGACCTAGGGAGGTAATCCCTTTATAAGCGAGTCCGCTTTCATGGAGTTTATTCATATGTGCTATATATATTTCCATTTTGCATTATTGTGTTAAGAGAAGAAAAGTTGATGTCAATATGCTTTGACTGAATAGAACTTTTGTTGTTGGAATATAATAATGTTGACTTATTATCACAACTTTAGTGGTCTTTCAATACCAATAATGTGTAGCCTCCTGACAAATTTTCCCAACCATATTCCATGCTACAAATTATGACGCCGTTATGGAAGAAGCTTCTGAAGTCTATTCCATAAAATGGCTCATCATGCTAAAATGTAAAAGTGTCCCGGTATGGATCAGTAGCCATTTTGGCATCTAATAAAATCAGATTCTTAATAAAAATGATCTCCAAAACATCTGATTTCCTATAGTTTAGCATATATCCTTTTGTTATATATAGATATCTTAAAATCCATTTGGCTACTTTCTTATGATCCAAACTTAGTTTGCGTAGATATCTGCCCAAAACCAGAAAGATAAATTTACTCCCACTTAATCTGTGATACACAAAATCATCTATTGTATTTACCTTTAAACCAAAAGAGATAATAAATTGATGAAAAATGTGGTACCACGCATAGGATATCCAAAGTTGAGGTTGTTGAGTTTGTGTATTCAGAATAGGAGATTGAATAACATTGTCGATCACTAATTCATAATCTGCATACTATCGAAAGCAATAATAGGAATCAAGATTGATTCCTCCTTAAGGACAATGTTTTAACCTTGTTTCTTCCCCAAACTCAACATCCTCAAAGAATGTTGCTCTATCCAAAATGCAAGGTCAATATCCATGCAAGTGAGAACTAATATAATGCCCTCATTCCATTCCTTAAAGTTAATCTCATTGATTACATGAAACATAAATGTGCTCAATGTGAGTAGATATAATACCATAATTCAAACATGAGCAAATCTATGTTTATGCTCATGAATCCATAAACTGTAATCAATAAATTCAATTTATGATATCTTTAAAAGGTATTAACACAACATTAATATCAAGTCTTTGGACTGTAATACTAATTTGCAAGAGATATCCTTGTTTTAAAAATAAACATTGACAATAAATCATGTCAATTAGCAAGCCACTCTTTGGATTAACTTATTAATCACATGGAACCAAAAAATCATCACATATTTATCGGCACATATATGTTTATCCGGCCAAATATCAGTCTACCTGTGGGTCGGCTAATACCCGCATTAATAAACAGATAAACTATAAAATTTGATAATAAGAATTGACAATTAATCATGTCAACTAATAAATCCTTCTTTGGATTGACTTATTAATGACATGTAACCTAAAATTTGTCATCAAACATGTATTTATCCGACCAAATATTAACTTACCTTTGGATCGATTAATATCCACGTTAATAAACAAACCATAAAATTTAAGTTCTTTGTTTTAATTAATTTTCACAAATAAGATCATTTTCATGATATATTGTGTCAATTAATTTACCGTTAAAATAAATAACATGTCGTATCTTTAATTTATTGATAACCAAAAAATAAAAGACAACCATACATGAAATGGTGTCAAATTAATATAACAAAAGATGTTACCAAATAATTTCCATAAATTCCTAAAACACTTTAGGCCAATTAGATTATAAAGATAATAACATAAATATAAAATAAAATCAAAATCTATAATAATATAATCCCCATACCATTAATATAATTGTATGTGCTAAAAAATTTATCCAGATGAAATTCCGAAATATATATTAAATAAAAAAATGGATTGCATAACTCCTTCAAATGTCAACCCAAAAAAAAAAATTAATCCCTACATTTTTTTATATGCACCGAATGAATTCACGAATAAAATAAAAATCACGAAGTCTATTTGATCAATTCCTTAGATAAACCAATTAATATCTCCACAAGATAATCAAATTTGATCGATTCAGCCCCTCCTCTAATCCCCCGACGCCAATGAAAATTACATCCCCCCGAATCCCATTATTCACTTACTCCAGCATCTTGATTAAAGGCCAAACCAAAGAGCCTCCTGAGCCACTCCCTAAGAGGAATATCCAAGCACCAAACATCCTTCTAGAACCTCGTTTGAGTCTCATCCTCCACCACTCTATACATGGAATTAGAAGGAATACAACCACTCTCAAATCATCCGAAAAACCACCACCTTCCCCATGACAAAATTTGACAATTTTAACCCAGAGAACTCCATTGTCATTAAGAAACCGCAACTTCCATTTATAAAGAAGGTCAGGGTTAAAAGCATCCAAACTACTAACGCCAAGACTTACAAGTTTCTTATTTAAAAATTAAAAATTTACTATTGCGTACAGAGATAATGACTTAGGAAGGTAATAATGTTTCCCGTTTATCCATATTAGGTCCCTACCGTACTTTTTGTTTGTGTTACACCATTAAGATTGTTATAACCGTTTAGAAAAAATCCATTTTACCGGTTTCTTCCTATTAAAATGATCATTTATAAGCGGTTATAATAACCTTAATGGTGTAATATGCACAAAAAATACGTTAGAGACCTAAAATGGACAAACACGAAACTAAAATAACTTGTAAACATATTTATTTATCAAAGCCGTATCCTTGAACTTTAAATGATTTCCAGTATCAAAAGCAAAGGCTTTCAATGTAAAACTAAAACAGTCTAATCCAAAATATCAGTGAACCCACAAAATCTTAATGTCTTATAACAAAAATATTGTTTTACCATGATCAAAGGAGACATACAAGAACAATGGAGTGACTACTATAAATCCATATAATAATGTTGAGAAACACAGCCTATAAAATCTTTGAAACAAATTTAAAAAAAGTTACAAAGATCATAAACAATGTGACTACAAACTAAATCAAACACATCGGAATTCAAGATGCCATTTCATCAGCCACCGGAATCGGAATCAAGACTGCATCGGATTTGTCAATTCCAGGTGGGTCCACATCCATTTGATCAGAAGTAGCTGGATTGTTGTTGTTCCCTGGTTGTTCTTCCTCCATGGGTTGTGAGCCTGAATCTTGAGCCACTTGATTTGTCATTGGTGGTTCAGTGGCGGTTTGATCCGGCAACGGTGGTGGTGAGTTTGTGTTTCCGGTGGTGGTGGTGGTGGTGGTAGGTTGAAGATTTGTGGTGGTGTTGGTGGTGGTGGTGGTAGGTTGAAGATTTGTGGTGGTGGTGGTTTTGTATTCAGATAAAAGATCCATGAACTCGTTAAGCAACCGTTGAACTTTTCGGTTTGATGCCATTGCTGGAAGAATATCTTCTCTGAGAAGTTTATGCTTCTTCATTCCCTATAAAATATATAAACAAATTAAGTTTTTAAATAATCTATAAAAAAAATTAATGTAATTAGTATAAAATCAAAAAGGGGACAAAAAAAAAAAAAAAAAAAAAAAAAACCAACAAGAACACAAGGATCCCATGATGAATTTGTTGCAGATTCTGCCATTCCTGTTGGAGGTCCAAGAAAATTCTCACACACTTCACGCAGTCGAGACTCATCAGCTTCTCTAAAAAAGTCAAAAAATTAAAAACATTTAAAAAATGGAAAAATATTCTTTTGCAACTTTGTCAATTTTTTTTAATAAAAAAAGTTGGGTTGGTTTAAGTTATTGATAAACATAGTTTTACAAGCCTATAAGTTGTTGCCTTGTTGGCTACTAATAACTTCCAATATGGTTTAAACTTGATCCATAAGTTATTAAAATAGACATATAATCAAGCGTAAGTTACATTTTTTTAGTCCTTTAGTTTGTTCAAAATTTTCAATTTTGGTCCCAAATAGTTCAAAAATCCAAAATTCAGACCAAAATTGTCATTTTTGAACAAACTCAGGGACCAAAAACGTAACTTCCTCCATAATCGAAATAACAAGAAAAGATAAGATAAGAACCTAGCAAGAAAACGTATATACGAAAGGAGACACTGTCGATACTCATTTGGAGACTTTAAGGATAACGCAGATGCCAACTGAGATTCCAAGTGAGCGCGTGTCTGCACCCCATCGTCCGTCACTCTGCTAAGCAAAATGACATAAATACCCCCGAATAGGGAATAGGGACCAAATATGTAAATTACGGAATTTCAAGTGATTGAATTTGAATTTGAATTTGAACCTGCTCCAGCCAGGCTTTCTGGCTAAGAATTTTCTGACATCAACTTGCAAAGCTGCCAATTCACCGTTTTGGGGGAACCCTAAATTGAAGGAACTTGCAAAATTGGAAGCGGGGAAGCAATCGTCCGCAACACGTAGCCAACACATGAGGTTCATGTCAAACATGAACGCGTGGCGCGTTGCTAGAGTGACAAGTGGCGATCCGGATTTTGAAAGCTTTGCGGATATCACTTTAACTGTGCCTGAACAGAAATTAAAAGAAAATAAAAAAAATGCATGGTTTATGTAAGGTTAGAGATGAGAAAATGTTATGAGGGTCTGGTTGGTATGATGGAATGGAATCATAGAGGAATGGAATGAACAAAGTAGTGGAATGGAATTAGGAACTTGTTGATAAATAAAGAAAAAAATACATTAGTAGAAAAAATTAAACTTTAATCAAATAATTATGTATCACTAATTACATATGTTGTCAACAAGTCTCAATATTTTGGGTCAGGTTTAATCACAACAATTATTTTTTGAAAAAGAAAAAAAAAAGTCCGATTATCTTAGTTTATACGATAATCATGTCATTTATTAATCACGTAAGAAAAAATGTTTTTTGAAAGAAAAAAAAAATGTTTATTAATCACGTAACAATTATTTTTTGAAAAAAAAAAAAAAAAAAAGCTTAGTTTATTAATAACGTAAGAAAAAATGTTTCACAAAAATAAAAAATCCAATACCATAAATTTTAGAATAGAAGTATAAATATAAATAGGGTATGTTTCGGAAATTACAACAATTTAATTGAAGTTTTGAAACTTTTTGCAACATAATTATTAGTAAAGACTATATAAATAGAAGTAATTTATAATAAGAGTATAAAAGAAATGAAAAAAAAAATACGGAATGCTCCATTCCATTCCGATGTGGAAAACAAACACGACTTCTTTTTCGTTTTCATTCCACCATAATGGTGGATTCCATTCCCTCTTCGATTACTGCATAGAAAACACAAAGTAAAATTTTCATGTTTGACTTGAAATGTTTACCCGTTGACTTTGGGTCAGAGGCCATAAGTGAGGTCAATGAATCATGAAGAATACATTTTCGATTAAAAAGATCCCACACATATAATGCCCCTTTTCTTGTAACAAGCAACAACTTCCAAGATTCATCACAATCGATGAACACAGGTGTGGACCCCATCATCATAGTTGGCATAGATCTTCTCCCACATTTTGTGTAAACCTTTTCAAGATTTCAACATTAAACACAACAACTACTAATAATCATACAAAAATAAAACACTTTTTCAATTTAACCATCATTTTTTTCCACCTAAATCATAAATTTTCAATTTGTGACCATTATTCTTTCACCATAAAAAAGATGATGTTGCATTCTTTAGAATTTTTTCAAATTGACCAATTTGACCTCGGATCAAGAATTCAAGATCCTAGGTCAAAAGGGTTGATTTAGAAAAAATTTGGAACTTCTATGGTTTTTAATTGGAAAAAATAGAAGTATTAGTGGTTAAACCGCAAAACCACCGAAAATATAGTGGCTTTTATGTAATTTGCTCGTGAAAAATATTGAAAATATAAAGCTTTTCAAGATTTGAACATTAAACATACTAATCATACAAAAATAAAAACACTTTTACAATTAAACATACTAACCATTATTTTTTCCACCTAAATCATAATTTTTCAAGTTGTGACCATTATTCTTTCACCATAAAAAAGATGATGCTGCATTTTTTCGAACTTTTTCAAATTGACCTATTTGACCTCAAATCAAGATCCAAGTCAAAATGGTTAATTTAGAAAAAGTTTAAAACTTTTATAGTTTAATTGGAAATATTAGTGGTTAAACCACAAAACCACCAAAAATATAGTGGTTTTTTCGTAATTTGCTCAAGAAAATATTCAAAAAAAAATAAAAATAAAAATAAAAAAAACAACTAACCTGAAGAGAACCATCTTCACAACCAACAGCCCAAAAATTTGCATTTCCCGCCAAAACCATGACATTCCCAGAAATTCGATCTGACCAAATCATTTGACCATTTTTCGTGCAAGAAATTTCTGTTTCTTTCATAGTAAATGACGTTCCTACCCCTACAAGGTCATTTGGTGCATGTTCTTTAGGCCGAGCTTCCAAACAAACATGTGGTGACTCACCTCCTCCCTCTTTACTAAACACCCTTATTGAAATACCTTTCAAAGATCCCATCTTTTTCACACCTCCAATTTGTTCAACACTAATATTCCCATCTTTATCATTTAAAGGTGACACCTTTTCAATCACAAGACTCTCACTAACAGTAGCACGTGCAGCCACACCAGATCGCTCCCTCACATCAACGGGTCCCACTCCCACTCCCACTCCCACTCCCACCATTGCTCTTTTACTAGGAGGCCCCTCGTGAAACCCTGAGTCATGTACAAGTGCACCATTATTTTCGGTTGACTTTGTGGAAAAGTCAACCGTTTGAGGGATGTTTTCTGGAACCCTAACAGCTTCCGGAATGATCCGTTTCCTTCCATCGGGTCGCCTGTATTCTCTTTGCTTCACTGGACTTGAAACTCGGGGAGAGGGTTTAATGGTGGATGAAGAAATATTGGTATTGATATTGTTGGTGTTTGTGTTTGTGTTTGTGTTTGTGTTTGTGTTGTTGTCAAGTTCGTGTAAAGATTCGGATGCTTTTGATGGAATTATTGAAGAAGATGATGATTTGATGGTGGAGGTGTTGTGGTTTGTGGTGGCTCCGGTGACCTTTTTGGAGGCGGCTTCGAGGAGTAATTGGGCGGGAGATTCTGCTAAATTTGACTGGCGGATGATGACATCACCATATCGGCTTTTTTTCAATTCTTCTAATTCGATTTCGGTCAACCTATGACCGAGTTCTTTGACCTCAAAGTGAAAAGTGGCAACTGTTCCATCTAAAGAACATGCAAATAGTGAATACCCATCTGGGCTCCTGAAAAAAGAAATGAATTAAAGTTTGATATGATGGAATGGAATGAAGAAGGGAATGGAATGGAATGGATCATTGAATTGGATTAAATGTGCTTGTTATGTGTGAAGAAAAGTGAATGATGTTAGATTGATGTATGAAGAAAAGAATGTTTTATGTGTTGGAATAAAGATAGATAGTCTATGCCCTTTAAATTATGTATAGAGTATATGTATTTCAAGTAAAGAGATATAGTTATCATTTATTCAATATTGTTTAGAGAGATAAAATATTAATACCATGAAACTTTGAAATAGAATTATAATAGAAAATAATTTTGGTTATTTGAAAATAAACAATCTCATAAAAGACCTTGTATTTTGTTTGCCTGAAAAAGACCTTGTATTTTTTCATTTTTTTCCGAAAAAGCCCTCGATTTTGTTTTTTTTTTCCGAAAAAAAAAAACCTCAACCTTCTAAATGCTTTGAAATAAACCCTCAACTTTTTTTGTTTTTCTCGAAAAATCCCTCGCATTTTACAATTTTTTTGTAAAAAAATGACTAAAAGGGCCAGATAAGAAAAAAATGATGGAATACAAGCTCTTTTTTAGGCAAAAAAATAAATTTGAGGATTAATCCAGAAAAAACACAAAATATACGGTCTTTTATGAAATTAACCAAAAAAAAAAAAAAAAAAAAAAAAAAAAAAAAAAAAAACACTAATTTAACCGGAGTTTGGAAATCTTTTCAAGAACTCTAGTGTTATTGAAGATTATATAAACAATAGTAACTTGGGATTTTAATGTATTATTCCATTCCACCATGGAATAAGAAAAATAAAATAAAAAACAACCCTCGTTCGTGGAAGGAAAAACATCTAAGGAGGAGGAATCACTCATTCCATTCCTTCTTCAATTACTTCATACCAAACACTACGTATACCAAAATAAAGAAAAAAACATAAACTTGTGCTTTAAATGTGAATAGATAATGTGATTTACCAAGATAAATCCACAACACTTTGAGAAAAGAAGTGTTTGGCAACGAATAAAGGGCGAGCACTTGCAGTAGTCCACACAGTTATGGTTCGATCTTGACTTCCTATTGCAATAACATTATACGGTTGTGATTCTTTTCCATTGTTTTTTGAAAAACCATTAGCCCATCCACCCGAACTAGCTTTTCCTTCAAGGGTATTTGTTGGGTTTCTTTTAAACATCGAGTGATTAAACTTCACCACAATAATAGGGGCGTTGTGTCCTAAAAAGTCAAAGGTTGCAGTCCACTCTCCCCTCTCTAGAACAGGTGCCGAATGCCTTGGTTTTTGAAAACCGTGTGTTGTTGTTATGAAATGACCACAAGGAGACCACCCTAGTCGCCTGAAGAAAGTGGATCCAAGCTACCAAAAGAAAGTATACAGACAATAAAGTATAAAGCAGGTAAACAGACAATAAAGCATAAAGCAGGTAAACAGACAATAAAGCATAAAGCAGGTAAACAGACACAATAAAGCACATAAAGCAGGTAAACAGACAATAAAGCATAAAGCATGTAAACAGACACAATAAAGAACATAAAGCAGGTAAAAAGGCACAAAGCAAGTATACAGGCAATAAAGCATAAAACAGGTAAACAGACAATAAAGCATAAAGCAACTAAACAGATAATAAAGCATAAAGCATGTTACACAATAAAGCATAAAGAAGGTAAAAAGACAATAAAGCACAAAGCAAGTATACAGGCAATAAAGCATAATGCACGTAACCTGACAATAAAGCAGGCAATAACGGAATAAAGCATAAAGCATAAAGCAGGAACTAACAATAAGGGCATCCACAATGCATTGAACTCTATAGTCCATAGAGTTCAATAGATTGTCACATCAGCATTCTATATTCCATACAACTCTTTATCAATTTTTTCCTACAATGCATTGTACTCTACAAAGTTCAATGGAACATATTTAAATATTTATTTAAGAATCATAAAACTTTCCTTTCCCCATTGAAGGGTTCAATGATCATTGAATGCCAATGGGATGGCTTGCTAGTTGCCACCTCATTCAACTCTCTAATTGAACTCTACATTGTAGAATGTAGATGCTCTAAGGCTAAAAGAGAAAAGGGGAATAAAAGAAGATACCAAATAGGGAAAAACAATATGCAAGTAAATGATGTACAAAAGGCACAATCATATAAGAAAGAAACTAGGACCTAATGACCTATACTAAGGGAAACAATCTCATTTATTTGAATTTTAAAATTTGAAATACATACCGATTTTGACCAATGTCCATCTGTTCTATGTGCAAGACTCCAATCAGATGTTCGCCAAATAATTACAGTTTTGTCATCCGATTGACTTGCTATAAATGAGCCAATGGGATCCCAAGTTACCCCTTTAACAAGACTAGAGTGACCCCTTAAAACAGCTGTGCAAATCCCATTGGTCACATCCCATATATGAATAGTGTTATCCAAACTCCCACTGGCTAAAGTTGAATCATCTGGTGACCAATTTAGATCCACCTACTCTAAGCACAATAAAGAAAACCTCCATGATTAGAAAAATGTTAAACAGTTCGATTTAAGATGATACAATCAGTTAATTACCACATCTGCAGTATGTCCTCTTAAAGTGGAGGCGATTTTCCAGTTTTCAACATCAGGTGCCTCACCACTACCAAATTCAGTTGTTCCAGAACCAGGTTTTCTTTCATGTATTTGAATCACTTGATCATCTGAACCTGATGCAATGTATCTGCCATGTTTGGCCCATCTAACACAATTCACAGATCCAAAATGATCACGAAGTGTAGCAAGAAGTTCTAACTTTGATTTATCTGGATCCAAGTGAAGGATTTTGGCAACGTATTTCATGTTCCAAATCCTTACCTACATGATGAAGAAAGGTCATGACCATGCATACAAGTGGTATAGAAAGTGATGAGAATCTTCCTAATTCATCCTACCATTTCATTAGAAATTTAGAATTATGATTGAAATCCACAAAAACCAGAGTAATTGGCAAATTCTTACACTAGAACTATATTCAGGCACAAATTAGGATATTCATATGTAAAGACATCTTATAGCATTATGTATTATTCCATGTATTTGGTTCTCTATGGACATATACGCCAAAAGATTTATGCCTTCAAGTGTTTTTCATTGATTTAGGGATCAGAAGTTTCGAAATTTATCATGTAATTGAAGATAAGCCTGTGAGTAAGAGTGGAACTGATATAACTTATGTTGACAACGTGAAATAATGCTACTATAGGTCAATCAACTCTTACAACTTCATACAACTGTGATTTCTCTTCGAACCCTAGCAAACATACAAAAATACGCTCTTTTTCATAGAGTAAACAGTAAGAAAACGAGAAATTGAAAGCGCATTTGTTACTGATACCTTGTGATCGCCACCGCCAGTGGCAAATCTAAGCCCTCCAGGCTGTATATCAATTGAGAAGATTTGCATGCCTTCATGTTTAACCCAATTTGGTTTTTCTGCAATCATCTTCAGATATATGTTGATCTTCAAGCGAAACCGAAATGAGCTTGATTAACAAAGGAAAGCAGTATCATAATACGATATCTCTACAAAAATTCCATCAAGAAGAAAAGCCCAGAAATAACACTTGTCAGAATTGGAAAATTAGAGAAAATGGAATAAACCCCTTTTTCGAAATTTTGGTGCCCTTTTTTCTTGACAAAAACCCTAGAGTTTTGGGTGTTTGCGAGCTTTATGTTCTTTAAACGGTCATAAGCCGATGGTACGCGATGAGTCGATGAGGACTCTACTAGTGTCGCAAATATACACGATGAATTTCAAATCCCTCTACTTTTCATTGATCTACATATTTTATCCCTCAAAGGAAAAAATGTTTGAATTTTTTAATCTTTGAAATTTTTGTCTTAGTTTGAATTTTTTTTTTAATTACAAAGCACATGTAATTAAAGTTAAGCTAATTTAATTATCATCGTACAACGAGTGAGATGTCAAACGGACAACGAGCTTCGTCGCTAAGCCTTTTTTTTATGGTGAAACTAATTCTTTTAAACACTACATTCATAGATCTAGAGGATATAACATTGGTGTGCATGATCCGATGTACTCTATTAAGAAGTTTCACCGCATCCGGCGCGAGAAAACCAAACGTATCAAATGCAAATGGTATGATCACGTGTTGATTTTCCATGCACAATTTCTCATGTGTTGGTGACTTTGCATGTAGTAGCTTTTAAAGCAGCATGTCTCACTGTGAAACCCCCAACCCTCAAGCCTATGACAAGGGATACCCCTGTAAGGTCCACACATATGTGTTTCCCTCCGACCCATCCAAAAATCAAAACGTCAGTCAGTCTAAGGGTTGACCTTCCTTCTGGTGGGTCAGTCAAGAAATTTACAGGTGCATCTTTCTTGGCGAAAACTCTGACACACTTGAATATGTCAAACAAAACATCCCTAACCATATCGTGTCTGTATTTGAACCCCAGGAGTTCTTTACAATGAACCACATGCTCTCCAAAAGATTCCAAACATATCTTACGATACATCAGACATATCTCGTCAGCTGGGAATATTGGAATCATGAGTCGATATTTGAGGATAGTACGATACTCCACACAAAACATATGTTGTCCAAGCCCATCTATAGGGATAGCTAGACGAGAGTCTTGAGCATATGGTGCACGTAAGCACTAGAAAACCGCTTTCTGCCGAGCCACCATGTCGAGATGCACTTCCATATCTTGGACAATTTTACGAAAAATGGCACTCGCTAGTGTATTCTGGGATTTAGGGGGCGATGTCTTTAGTAGTAAAACTGCTAAGGCCAATATCCAGAAGTTTGTTACGAAGAGAAGCCAAGGCACAATCATAATCAGAATTCATACCATATATGGCGCTATCCCATAAGATGTGGTATTGCAATACCCAAGATTGGACCCTTAAGGCAACAAAAGCATATAAGGTAGACTCTACTATCGGATATAAACATAAACCACCAAACTTGATGGGTAAGGAAGCAATCCCCGACTGTATGTCACCAAAGAAAGGGACACCATAAACCACAATGTCCTCAATCACCCCGTGCTACCTATTGTCAAAGAATATTGCCACCTTCTCCATGTGAACGGGTTGGCATGCCTCAGCCTAAATAAAAGCTTAGCAAAACCTATACAAGACCGAAGCAGAAGAATCTCACCCTGGATGTTAGACAATTGTGGAAGAATGCGCATCAAATTCACAACGTTTTCAGCTCTCTTTATGGCTAAGCTGCTAATAAAACTAGCATATCTACTAACAAATCCCCCAAGAAGTTTCACCCTTAAAAGGTGGATGTCAAGCGGGAATAGCCCTTCACGTAGCTTCTTACAATCACACGAGGGCCAAAAGAGCTCGTTTTCTTGATATTCAGTTGAAGGCCTAATTTTGGGCCACTCACCGTAATGATATCGATCGTTTTGGCCACATCCTCCAAATCTCCAATAAGTGTGTCATCATCAAGGTACCATGCATGGAAAAAAAGCTTTCAATTGTCTCTAATATTATGCAAGAGCGGGTGCAACACAAGGGCAAAGAGAAGTGGTACCAATGGGTCTCTTTGTTGAACCCCAACGGTGGACCAAATATGTGTGTTGCCTAAATACAATCTTGCTTCTTAACCATAAAGGAATTCTACCCACAAGGATATATAAGGACACCTCAATCTGGCCTCATTAAGTAATATGGATCTCTCGATAGGGTTAAAGGCATTAGAGAAGTCTACGGTAAGCATGGAAAGAGATCCATAATCATGGCACTCACTCAACACCCTATTGGCGTTATGTAATACGGCCTTAGCACCACCCGACACCCCGACCCCGAACTGAAAATCATTGAGATACTTGGCCATTTATTTACTAATGCCTTTCATAGCCAACTTGGAAACCAAACGTCTCCATATACTGCCTACTGCAATAGGTCGTATTCCCTTGTCAGGTTTTAAGAACGGCGTGAGAGGAGCAAAGGCAACAAATTTTGCCAAACTTGAAGGCATCTTCCCCCTAGCCATACATTAACCTTAGGTGTAATAACACGTAGGAGTCTTTAGCTATAGCTAAACCTTCTCCACAAAGAGCATCCAAAATATGTTGAGCTCTTAACCCATCTCTCCCACACGATGTACCTTTAGGGAAGGATTTAATTCCCCCAAGGACATTTTCAACATCCACTATAAGGGGAGGTTCTGAAAATATGGTGATTGGCATGGAAGGTGGTGGCTTGTATTAATGATTATCATCTAATGCCTTCGTGGTATCACCCCCAAAGGGAGCAACCCCAAAGAACATAAAACTTTCGTTGCCGCTGTAAAGTGTCCATCAACAACCTTACGAAGACATTGATGGGTTATATACAAACGATCATATATGTGCATGCAACCCTAGTTTTGGATCTATGTTTTCTCTATTAGACATACAACATATGAACACAAAAGTAAAACCTAGCATGCATCTAATATTTCGAAAATTACAAATCAAACAATAAAATACATACATTTGTTGCTATAGTAATTGATGGGTTTATAGCATTCTAACACTCCTATGGTGTACATACAACACTAGAAACCTTGGATCTATGTTTTCTCTAATATTCATGCAATTTTGATTTTTCCAAGGTTTACATCCTAACTAGCATACAATGGGGGAACTTGTAATATAAAAACCAGTAGAATGACTTGATGGGTTTTGGCCATATGAACATTCCTATGTGCACATGCAAACCCTAATGCTTGGATCTAGGTTTCTCTAATTAAACATGCATTGAATCCAAGACTTCTAATGGCTAATTAGGTATAAGAATAATACAAAACTAGAGTTAGAAGCTAACCTTGAAACACTTGTTTGATCTTCTTGTTCTTGGAGCTTTAGAGTCACAGTTGTCACTCCTCTAATGGCTTACAAACACCAACTAGCAAAGAGAATGATTTGAGAGAGAGGAAAGAGGAGGAAATCGGCCAGGTTTTCCTTGATTTAGAAGAGGTGTCGATTTCCCTATCCCAAGGGGTCTGTTTATACTTGTAAGGCTCCTAGGGTTTCACCCTTAAACCCTAATTGGATAACTTAAACTCTAAGCAATCCTAATCCTTACCTTAGATAGGCCTTGGACGGATTTGAGGCTTATCCTAGCCCTAGAAATCGTCCAACCCTCATCCCTTAATGATTTACAGCCCAAAGTGTAACTATCAAACAATTGACAGATTATACCCTCTTATTTAATTAATCTCTTTAAGTCACCAAATTAATACTAATTAATTTATGACTTATATTAATCAAATAACAATATTGTTATTCCTTATATTATTCTCATAATATATTAATAATATCTATTTTCTCATAATAAATCATCCTATCAAGTTGCTATGGTGAAGGCAACCCAAAAGGACCATGCACAATCGGGTCAAATACTTGCCTAATATAGTTGCAGCCTTAGACACTATTCCAACAGTCTCCCACTTGGATAAGTGTAGAACTATATGCACAAGTATAATTCGATTTGCAATCGTAGCTCTCAAAGATGCTGTCAAACTCTGATCTAATCAATCCTGTCCTTTAGATAAGGGATCTTACAGTCCTCTGTTAGATATAATGCTGACAATTCTATGGAATAATTAGTCAAGCATTTGGTTTCTCGATCTCCGATTTATTTGACATAGAACTTAATCGAACACATCAATTCAGTTCTGACCGAGCCCGGCACATAAGTCAAATCAAATCATCAAGCGGCCGAGATATCGCTTTTTCCTTATTAGGATAAAAGTTACAGATAAACTTCGACTTATATGCATTTACTTATTCATTAATCAACTATACACAACAATGCGTTTTATAACATCGAGTTACCAATGCGTTTTCGCATTATCAATGTACAATCAATTAACAAATAACAAACCATATATCTAGGTTTTAAGACTATATGATATTATCGTCTTGCGATCACCCTTTTTATCACATTCCATAAGGTGATTCCAGCAAGCGCGGGTTTGTTCCAATGCTCAAAACTAGTTCATAAGCACTCATGAACGTTGCAGCAATCTTTTGCTATGTCTAAAACCATTTAGACAATCTACACACCTATTCATGACAATCTTCATTCATATCTACTTCCGACATATGAACGATTGTGGACAATTTGAATAATTCGATTATTCTTAATAAACTCAATTATTCTGGAAGTCAAAACATGCAAAGTGAAACAATAGTTAAACAATTAACATAAGACAGTAACATTACTTATAAATAAAACTCCTTTATTTAATCATCAAATGTTAATTACATTTATCTATTACACGTTTCTAATATTTATCTAATCTATGCTAATATCATCGTTCAGCCCAATACTCCTAGCATGCTGCAAGTGCTAAAACCCTACTCAGTCCCTTCGTAAGCGGATCTGCTGGGTTATCTTCTGATGATATCCTCTTCACTACGAGTTGTCCTTCTTCTACATGATGTCTAATAAAGTGATATTTTCTGTCGATATGTCGTGATCTACCATGATCTCTCGGTTCCTTGGTCAAGGCAACCGCTCCTTCATTTTCACAGAAAATCTCCATGGGCTCCTTTATGGCAGGTACAACTCCAAGATCACCAATGAAGTTCTTCAACCATATTGCCTCCTTCGAGGCTTCGCTCGCTGCAATGTACTCTGATTCGCACATTGAATCAGCTACGGTTTCCTGCTTGGAACTTTTCCAAGTCACTCCTCCTCCATTCAGGGTAAAGACCCAGCCCGA